TGATTAGGCACTCACATCTGCCCCCGTCTCAAGGACTACGCAGACAGTGTTTTCGTTCAATTAAGTATTTAAACATATCCCCGGATGGTATTGCGTGTTAATTACATTATATAACATGAGTGAATGTCACACACACGGTCTGCTTAAGGGGCTCGACATTTACACGTGAATATTTTATATGTTATACTGTCATTTACCCTTTAGAATAACAACGTTGTGACCTTTCTAATTGGTAAATGTAATTTTGTTAAATCACGTTCTTTCCTCTCTCGTGAAACGGTGTGTCACAAAGAGCCCCTGTATGGCTTAAAACAAATGTATAAATACCGAATGACAGTGCTCAAAAAATACATTCCTGGAATGCGATGCCAGTTTTTTTTTTAACGTCCCTTTTCCAGCAGACAGCGAACTTTGGCAATGTCTCACAAAAACTTATGGGAAGTAGAGACAATCGAACCATCAACATCGTTTAAACCTGTCACTTTTAAATCTCCCTAAATTCACCCAATCTTGTCTGGCCGTGGAAGCGAAAGAGCATTTAGCCCGGTTAGTACAACCTTGTTTCCTCCCATAACATCGTAGATCTTCCTTCAAAAGCATATTCTACAGCAGAAGATTAGCGCTGGATACAGCCACATTTGCCAATTTGATTTGTACATTTGATTCTTAACAATGTATCCATATTCTTGGTTCTTTCGGTAAAGTCACGTAGAAGGGAAACAATAAAATAATAAAAATATAAAACAATGAAATTATCACGACGTTTCGACTGTAACACAAGCAATCATCATCAGGTGTGAAAACCACAGCAAGAAAATTTGAAAAAAGTATCGACAATCAAGGGTATTTCCCTGTCCCCAGACGACCTGCTTGTCAGTTTTGATGTAGTTTCCTTATTCACCAAAGTTCCTGTACATGACACCATCGCAATCATTGAAGACTTGGTTCATCAAGGACTAAACACTGAGTTACCCCCCCTGGTGAGACACTGCTTAACCAATACACACTTCACTTGGAATGGAATTTTCTACAAACAAACTGAGGGCACCCCAATGGGCTCCCCCCTATCTCCGGTTGTAGCCAACATTTTCATGTAGAAATTTGAGACTGACGCCATCCAGACTGCCACTCTACGCCCAACCTTATGGAAGAGGTACGTGGATGACGCTTTTGTCATCTGGCTACATAGCCGGCCTACTCTAGACCAATTCTTCGACCACAACAATTCCATACACCCAGCCATCAGATTTACCATGGAAGTCGAAGAAAATGGCAAGCTACCTTTAATGGATGTCCTAATAAAATAAGAGACCTGATGGTTCAATGAGCCACTCTGTCTACAGGAAAGCTACCCATTCGGATGCTTACCTGAAACCGGATTCCCACCACCATCCATCCCAGAAGAATTCCCTCATCAAGACTCTGCACAATAGAGCCCAATGCATATCCGACCAGGAACACATAACCAGTGACCTCAAGCACATACACCAAGCTCTTAAGGCTAATGGTTACTCCGACTACACAATCTGCAAAGCTATCACTCCAACCATGAAGAAGGACCCTCTTGAGGAGCCTTTCAAAACCATCACTTTACCCTACATTGTGGGGATCACAAAAAAGATCTCCAAAATCTTGAATAAAGACAAGATCCAGATCCGATTCAACACATTACATAAAATCCGAGATCTGGTTCCATCTGTAAAAGATGTGATTCCGGACATTCAGTACCCTGGCATCTACAAACTAAGTTGCCTCTGTGGTAGAAGTTACATTGGAGAAACCAAACAACATGTCTCGGAACGCATTCGTGAACACAAAGCAGACCTAAAACACGGTAGGACCAACACCTCGGCCGTGGAAGATCACTGTTTTAATTCAGTAGGTTCACATGACATTGACTTCTCCAAGACAGAGGTTCTTTGCAAGACATCTGCTACCATGAGAGATTCGTTCATGAGGCTATCCACATATATAAACACAGAGACAATTTCAACCGAGAAGATGGAGTCTGGCTTAGCAATCATTGGAAGGATTTGATAAACCATTTCGGGTCTTAATTGATTGTTCATGCTTATGGTGGCTTTCAGACCGCATCCATTATTTTCGTCTCCCCCCTCCTCTTTTCTGAACATAGATGGACTCTTCCATCTGAACACACTGTTAAATCGCTCTCCGTGGTGCTAACGATAAAAATAACCGCCACTTTTTTCAAATTTTCTTGCTGTGGTTTTCATACCTGATGATGATTGCTTGTGTTGCAGTCGAAACGTCGTGAGAATTTTACTGTTTAATATTTTTATTATTTTATTGTTTCCCTTCTACGTGACTTTGCCGAAAGAACCAAGAATATGAATCCCTGCGGTCACGAAAGCTTTAAATAAAAATGTATCCATAGTTACATTTAATGTACAATTTTATTGAGGGACTGTGTGTGGTCTTGGTGTGGTCTGGGACTGTTTTTGCTGTTGTTTTACTGCCTTTCCCAAGCTTGTGAATTGGTGTGCTAATGAATTTTGAACTTATATACTCGATTTATTTAGTATTTATCGAAGGAGTGCCACGGTGGTCTGATGTTATCTTCCTCGCCTGGTATGCAGAAGGTCAGGATTTCGTTCCTGACCCTGACACCTGCTGTATATTTGTAGTTTGCATGTTTTCCCCGTGGTTGCGTGGATTTTTTCACCAGGCCATCTGGATCTTCCCTCCACATTTAGAAACATGCATTTAGATTTAGATTATTTTGCTGCTATAAATTTCACATGACAAGCCATTTTGTTGAGCTATCATTCTGGCCAGGTCACTTATAAAACAGAAGCTAATAGCTCAGTGGGCTTTCCGTGATACGATTAAATTGTTTAGTTTAATTTGTATATATTTTTTTGTGGTTTCTATACATTTACTATACTTTTCACTCGTATGATGTTTTTGTATTGGTTCTTATTGTAACGTTCTGACCTACTTATACTGGACATCTGTGATAGAGAGCTGTATAGCTCATCTGATTACTCCAGTATAAATACATATTCTAATCTGATGAGGTCAATTAGAGGGCTTGCTAGGTATTGTAGGCATGGGGCCTGGTTTTCCCATGATATTCCTGTTGTTGATGCAGCTGTCCTGCATAGCTGTCAATGTTCCTGGGACATTAAAAGTCCCGTTTTTTTCAGTATTATAACAATACAACACTTAAGACAATGCATGTATGTGTAGTTCTCCCTTCTGGTATTGGGAGATATTCTTTTTCCCACGGTATGTCCCAGTTGTTTGTACCTAAGAAGTGGAAAGCCTACATGGGGCTTTGAAGTGATCTGAAGATGGCACAGCTAAGTTCCACAGCCTCCTCCCACAAGCCATTAATGGTAGTGGCTAGAGATCCTAATGTAGGACCCTCTTTAAAATGAGGCTTGAGACTCGATGAGGTTTTTCTGGATAACTAACTGGTATTTTTACTTTCTTGCAGTAGCCATCTTGTCAAGGATCATGCTGACTTAAGTGTTCACCTCAAGCTCTCAAAAAATGTTATGGGCTCCAGAGGCATGCAAACATGTCCTGAAGTAGGCCTCATAGAAATACAATCTTCTCTTCCAAAAAAAAAGTAAAAAATTGTGTGTGGGTTTGTGTGTGGTCGCACGCTTGGCTCTCCAACGGTGGGGTTTATGTGAAGAAAAAAATAGCCAGGTACCACGCCGTAAGCCCCGTCAACTTTAAATTAGTTTAATTAGCGATTGAATGCGATTTATTGTGCGCTCCCATTTTATTTATTTATTTATCACGCATGCACGACCATACCAACTCACGCGCCTTTGGTGGGGGGAACGGACCATGCCAAGTCGCACGCCTTCGGTGGGAGTGAGGGGGACTTTCTTTCACGTTAAAAATGCTATAAAAATATACTAAACGCTCAGGTTCATTCTTCACTGTGTGATGTTCCCCCCACCCCGATGCGTGCAGTTATTACTACTATACAGTCGCTAGATGCTACCACTATAGGCCGTAGATATTACTGCAGAGCGGCCGGGGAGATCGTGGCTGGGGGGGGGGGTAGCAGCCCAGCCCCAGCCTGCCAAGGTGCCACCTCGACCGGCTGGACAATCTAGGCGAGGCCGGAGGCTCTGCACGGGACTATGCCTCACCACGCCACTCTATTATGTGAGTACTTTGTGTTATACAGTCGATAAATACTGATATAGAGTCAGCATGTACTACTGTAGTGATAGCAGGTACCACCACAGTCGGTATGCACTGCTGTAATCATAGCAGGTACCACCACAGCATGCATTGCTGCAGTGAAAGCAGGTACCACCACAGTATGCACTGCTGTAATCATAGCAGGTACCACCACAGTCAGTAAACACTGCTGTTAGATTTTTAAGAGTAGTTTTGAAATATTTTAGAGACGCGGGCAATCCCGAGTACTTCCCGCTAGTATTATAAAAATCCTGATACTGCATTGGCAGCAAAGCACAACACTTCCTGAACAGGAAGCATATTAAATAATGGGTGAATTTGCGTGCAATGGCCCCTTTTTTAAGTATATCTTTCCTCATAATATTTCCATTGTACCACATAGCTATGCACCCTGCAGAGAAAAGTGTCACTCAGCACTATTATCGTTCAGTACCCTTGTGACGGCTTGCCATGTTATTACGCTATTATAACTGAAAATAAAAACATGCTGGCTACGAATGGATGTAGAACTTATTTTGCACTGTACGTCGCCAACCGTGATAATCGGAGGTGCGGGAGGATAACAATCTCGACCAATGTTCTTCACTCATTATCAGAAGGGGGCCACTTTCGCCGATGAGACATCAGTGTGAGGGCCACCACACATTTGAACCCATTGGGTTTGAGAGCATGACAATACGGGTGTTTTAACATGTTGTGTAGTCGGTGGCCGCACATCAGGGGCCGCACTAAAGGCCACCAGGGGGCTGCCAGGGGCCCATGAGGCCTTGCAATGAAGAACATTGAACTTGACGGACACCACTCGGCATTACCTGCAGGATGCTGATGTGGCCGGGCGTGGCCATGCCGTTGGTGGCCATGTTTATCCGTGGGGAAGGCCGCCCCAAAGTGCCTCCCCCGCTGACCACTCCGCCGCCGCCATAGGAATGTCTTGTGGCATCACTGCCGCCACCGCCGCCGCTCCGCAGTGCTCGCTCCTCCGCTTCGGCGGCGCGAAGCTTCTGCCGGCGGGCTTGGCGCACCTTCTCAGCTGCGATCCGCCCGGGGTTGTTGAGGATTACCTGTTGCGCAAGTACGGGTTGTAAAGTAACAGAAAAATAAAGAAGTTAAAGTGCAAAACTGCAAAGTCTCACTCACATCCCCATCCCCACACCTCCGATTAGTGGTGTTAATTGGTTATCACACAAACTCTGGTCATCCTCATGGCAGCGGCTTTTGGCTAACCCATCGAACATAGACCGTCACTGCATCGCGTGCTTTCGGGTGCGCTTCTGCGGCCGTCTGGAACGCTCTTTCTTCTGATATAAGGAAGCCACTGGAGTTGTGCACTTTTAAATCTAGATTGAAAACTAATTTGTTTAGAATAGATGTTTGTGTTTATTTGTTGTCCTTCCCCCGCACCTCCAATTAGCACGGTGGACTATGTATGGTGCGAAAAGAAGGTAAAAATACCTATGTAAATACGTCCCTGTCCATTCTGGCAGAAGTCCTTTTCTAGAGGGTGTGTTGGCTAACTCTTCCACCCTGGTCAGACGTATTTGAAGAGGATTGAATACACACAGTTTACCCTACCACATGCGACCTGCCAATTGACTGCATTGTACCTATTTATACTGCTTGGTGGACAGAGGTGAGGGGATTTAAGAAACATGCCCATTATTTATATGTACACGCCAGGAGAGTGAACCAGTGGTTTGTAAGTCCAGTGCGCCAACCAATAAACCACGGCAACGTCTCTGTCCAAGAATACCCAGCACAAAACAAAGGCTATCTAGCAACGAGGGTATTATGTCTTCACAGTAACTCTCCTCAAGTTGAATTGACTGGGGCCAAGGCACATGTAAGCTTAAACAATGTCATTTTGCACAATTCATTATTAAAAATGAACAAAATTAATAAACCTGTTATCTGGGAGAGTGCATTGCAATGGCTGGAGACATTGGAGACTGGGTAATGGATATGTGCGATGTAAGAAAAATAAAATAACGTTGATCTGGGCATTATAATGATTTTGCATGTAAAAGTGTTTTTGAATATTTTTAAGGAAAGCAGTGGTCAAGCAGATATAATTATATTACAAACCTGATGAGCTGGGTTTGATTCCCAAACTTGCCTAACATAATTGGTGATATCTGAACCTGGTCTGTGCTCCCGAGGTAAACTCAGCTTTAATGAGTAGCTGATGCTATGTGTAAATTTCAGCATTGGGAAGACCAAGATACCATGCATGGTACTGGCCATACCACAGTCTCATGCACCATACTGGCGTTATATATACTTGCTAACAATACTTTGCTCAACAATCTGCAAAGTTATAGTGGGACTTTGCCTTTTGTGTATGGAAGTCCGTAAGCCCCGCGGTCAGCAAGCGCTATTCCCTTTTCACATCCGTCAACTTTAAATTAGTTTAATTAGCGATTTAGTGCGATTTCTGTGCGCTTCCATTTTATTTATTACGCGTGCACGACCATACCAACTCACGCGACTTTGGTGGGAGGAACGGCCCATGCCAAGTCGCACGCCTTCGGTGGGAGTGAGGGGGACATTTTCTTTTGCGTTAAAAATGCTATAAAAAATACCCTAAACGCTGACGTAAATTCTTCACTGTGTGATGTCCCCCCCACCCCGATTCCCCGATGCGTGCAGTGACTAATATATAGAGTCGCTAGATGCTAGCACTATAGGCAGTAGACTATTTATTTATTCATCACGAGCACACGACCATACCAACTCACGCGCCTTTGGTGGGGGGGGGGCATGTCGCATGCCTTCGGTGGGAGTGAGGGGGACATTTTCTTTTGCGTTAAAAATGCTACAAAAATACACTAAACGCTCAGGTTAATTCTTCACTGTGTGATGTCACCCCCACCCGATGCGTGCAGTTATTACTACGATACAGTCGCTAGATGCTACCACTTAGATATTACTGCAGAGCGGCCGGGGAGATCGTGGCTGGGGGGTGGGGGTCAGGGGTAGCAGCCTGCCAAGGTGCCACCTCGGCCGGCTGGACAATCTAGGCAAGGCCGGAGGCTCTGCACGGGACTACGCCTCACCATGCTACTCTGTCAGGTGAGTACTTTGTGCTATAGAGTCGATAAATACTGCTACAGAGTCAGCATGTACTACTGTAGTGATAGCCGATACCACCACAGTCGGTATGTACTGCGTTAATAATAGCAGGTACCACCACAGTCAGTATGCACTTCTGTAATCATAGCAGGTACCACCACAGTCGGTATGCACTTGCTGTAATCATAGCAGGTACCACCACAGTATGCACTTATGCAGTGAAAGCAGGTACTACCAGTCAGTATGCACTGCTGTTAGATTTTTAAGAGTATGATAAATTCACAGTGCTGAATAGATCCACACATGTACGGGTTGCAAAATTAATCTGTAAATTATTAAATTCCCTTTCTCCCTTTCCAGGCCTAATGACTTGCGCTGAGTGTGCTGCAATGCCCACCACACATCTAGTTATAAGCAGCATAAACCATCACGAAAAATCCGGTCATCTGCACAGTGGCTGTTGGCTAGCCATCGAACAAACACGGTTCACCACATCGCGGCCTTTCAGATGCACTTCTGAGGCCTATTAGGAAGCTACTGGATGTATACATTTTTAAATCTCGATTGAGGACTCATTTATTTAGAATTGCTTTTTGTGTTCAGTTTGTTGTCCAACACATCTGATTAGCACGGTTGGCAACATACGGTGGGAACGAAGTTCAATATACATACGTACATACAGAAGCAAAACGCTGCCCGTAATCACACTCGCAGAACAGTGGCTCATGAATTGTGGGAAACCTCCGACACTGTGGCCCTACTGCCAGATCCACCCTAACCTTGCCCACCCTATACCCAAGAGCATCGTGCACACTGACACCTGGTAGAATGCATGACTTCTGCAGGTTGCCATAAATAACCTCCATGACTTGCAAAGTGAAAAATCATATTGATATTGTACAAAATAGCTGGGCAGTGGTGGTGCACGCCTATAAACCAGCACTCCAGAGGTTAGGGTAGGTGGATCACACAAATGTTGCGAAACCCACATGCCTTGGGTGTCGAGGGGGTAACCATACTCTGGCTCTCCAGGAGAATGCGGTACAGCATTCTCTGTCCCTGCTGTATGGGAATGAATATTGCCCCCTCACATGCGTTGATTTTCTCTGGGTGCTCTGGTTGTCTACCACATGCAAAGACTCATTACCTGGCTTAAACGATCTTTATATAGAAGACTGCAGAACTTGGGCAAATGTTGTTGGCCCCAGCTCACTGCTGGCTGCTGCCTTCTAGCTTGCCTATTTTACTTTAGAGATTGTCAGATACAAATTTTATGAATGATCCCATATAAAAATAAATGTTACTAATCTTAAAATTGGTCACTATCAGGGTAGCATCCTAGAAAACATTTTATTAATAGCATCCTGGTCTCATTTTAAAGGGTCATGTTTATTGCTCGTGTAGTGACATAGAATCAGTCACGTAGCAGCATAGCACTGGCTGCTGGCAAGGAAGGGGATCTGCAGCTTGCAGCAGCCTTGACTGACAGCAGGGCACGTGATAGACCAGAGAGGGATGTAAGGGAAAGGTTACGTAAGGGACATATCGAGAACCTGCAAGTAGGTTCCAGAAGGGGGGCATGGCCGGGGCAGAGCCAGGCCATGCTGACAGTATAAAAGGTGCCCCAGGAGGGGACCTCGTCGCTGTCGTTCAGAGTGGGATCCCGTCGTGCTGCTGAAGATCGTCGCTGTCATCTCGTTGCCTTCGTCGTTTTCGTCTTCACCTGATATTGTGCTGCTAGATGGTAGTTCGCTGTCTCGGTTCAGCGCCATCAGTGTCAGATGGCTAACGTTGTGTATAGGCTAGCAACTTATGTCGAGTTGAGTATAACGAGAGAGAAGAGTGTGTACCAGCGTAGGGTGTGTATTGTGCAAAGGGTGCTCGATTTAATAAAATAATTGCCTCCAAAGAACTTGCATCTCGAAGTCAGTCACTACACTTGTTTAAGAGTAACCGACATCAATTAACATAATTGATTATGAATTTGCATGTACAGCTATTCAAATATGCAAAGTAACATTTAGACATCAAGGTATGCATTAGGACTCATCTTCTCAGGGTAAAAAAATGTAAAAATAAATTTCCAAACGGCCGACATTTTTTCCTCTAATTTGTATTCTTACTCATAACATTCATTGCATATGTTTTTTTTACTCACACTGTGCAGATGTAAAAAACATGAGAGCCAGCTGGTGGCGTTCTCTTGACATGCCCAATCTGGTCCCATATAAAATATATTGATGGATTTTGGAAGCAAATATTATTTGATACTACTCACATATTTGTATCTCCATGCCAACATTAATTTTTAATATCATGATTCATAAATTATTTTAATATGCATGACAATATGCACTCGGCTTATGGTCAGGGACGCATACCAATGCCACATTAAAGTTTGCTTTCTTTCAAATAATATTTAATGTGAGAAGCAGAGGCAGCTTGTTTCAGAGGTTTGCGGTTCGACGCCAGCAGGCAGCCCTGGTTAATATTGTGGGTGCATTAACCATACATACTGTGCACTGTCTGCTTTGTGTCGTGATGCTATTTGAAAAAAAGAGGCCATGTGTTGTGGCATCATGATGAACATTTAATTACATTCCTTCCAAATTGATTTGAAAAACCACATACAGTAATCCCTCGGTTAACTTTAAAAATTCATTCCACAAAAACTAGAATTAAACGAAATAACTGTTTATTGAATTCACTCATAAGTTGAACAATACGTAAAAATTACTGAGTCTGCAAGAGAGCTGTTTCCACTGCCACAATAGAAAACAATATAAACAAAGCCAGTTGAGGTCTGAACGCCCATAAATGAGCGGAGCTGAGCCATGCCTTCACGACATGGCTCAGCTCCGCTTACGAGCACTTAGATTGGTCGAAATTAGTGCCGTGTGCATATAACATAAACTTACAGTAAGTCAGAATTTTAACGTTAGTCGAAACTATGGGGTCATATGGGAGGCGAAGGGTTAGCCGATGTCACTGT